TTGCAGGTATAAAACAGAAGACGTTGATTTCTTCCACGTGGCTTCGACTTCATCTGGAGATGGCCTTTATCTTGGAACATGACCGTGAAGAATTTGGGACGGAATGGGCTTGAGACCATGAGGTGTTTGGCTGAATTCGACTCACATACCCGAAGGAGATAAATCATCTTAACATCAAAATCAGAAATTTGGTATGAAATATGTCGTATAGTAAGAGTTTATTTTGCATCATCCCTAATATATTAAAAGAGAAAACACTTTAAAAATAACCTTTAGTTGATGTGTTATTAACAAGAATGCCATGCTGATGTGTCATCATTAGGGAGCTTCTCATGTTATTTATAAAATAAGGATTAGTTTACTAGACTAATTACAAACATTGTCATTCATATTTTTGGTTAGAGAATCAAATATGTATAGTTAGATTAATCATATATGAAATTATTAATAAAAGAATCATCATTCTCTTTCCTTAATTGGCAATTACGAAAATTAGTAAATAAGGAAAAATATGAGATTCAATTTAATGCTATCATTATATTTTTTTTAAATCATTCTATATCTCCTTTCATCTTTGTTTAACTTTATTTTATAAAATAAAAAATTGACACAATACAAAAAATCTAATAAATAAAATCTAAAACTTTTTCTATATATGCTATGATTTGAATTTTTAAAAACAAAATAATCACTAAAACTATTAAAATTCCCAATATGTTGTTGTGTGTAGGTGTAAAAATATATTATAAAAAATAGATGATATGCAACCATGTAAGTAGGAGAGTAGGTATCTAAATGTAATTTTTTTTAAAAATATTTTATATGATTTTTTAGTTAAACTGTATAATGAAATCAAATAAAATAATATTTTTTATAAATGTATTTAATTTTGATCAAAAATTTGAATATTGCTCCATTTGTTTCAATTTTTCAGTACAAAATTACTTATACTTTTGTTATTTTGACAATTTGGATTTTGCAAGATTGATCTTTTATTGGTTGGATTGTTTTGGAATTATAATAAAACATGTTTTAGTTTTAAAAGAAATAAAAAAAGTTAGTTCTAATCCGTGTAAACACCTAAAACTTCTTATCTTCTTATCTTATAAAATATACTCATTTGAGTTTTATGTATTTTGCTGAAGTCTAGCATATTTAATCTATAGTCTAGCATATTTAATCTATGATCAATGTTTTAATTTGTTTATAATTTTTAAAATGTTTAATTTCCACATTATAAACGAAGATAAAAACCTTAACAAGGTAAAAAAATCTGTCACATAAAATTTTGAAATAGTTAAATATACATTTTTAATTAAAAAATACAAATTCAGAAACCATCTCCCCGTGCTGGGCGCGGGTCAAACTCTAGTAATTAGTCTTGTAAGTAAACTAAAAAAAAATTAAAAAATAAATAAAAAAAGTCAGAAACCTCTAATCCAAATGAAATGTTTTGTTCTCTTCTTGAGAAAGACGACTAAAATGGCTTGAACCAGAGAGGAAAACCCGATTTTGAAATTGACTACAATGCTCTCCATCTCTCAGTTGCCGAGTTTCTCATTAAACAAATCCCTTCGCTCTCCTTGTTCTTCTTCTCTTTCTCTCTTCTCCTCCTTCTTCCCTAGAGTTTCGAGATTAGTCAGAGCAAGTTCCGGAATCTCCAATTTAACCCTCTGTAGTAGCACACCGGAGAGAATCCCGAGAGTCAATAACGCCGGCCTCAAACTCGACGAGACAGTCGACGCCGTTAAAGGGAAGATCCGCCTTGATTCGTGGATCTCTTCTCGCGTCAATGGCGTCAGCAGAGCTCGCGTACAGTCCAGTATCCGTCTGGGGCTCGTCAGCGTCAATGGCCAAATCGTCGATAAGGTTTTGATTGATTTCGGATCCAAATTCTCCAATTCTCAATTTCTTAATCATTCTCAAACAAGTCTCGAATCTTCCCAGGTTTCGCACAATGTAAAATCTGGCGATGAGGTCAATTGCACGATCTCAGAGCTTCAACCTCTGAAAGCTGAACCTGAAGACATTCAATTGGATATAGTTTACGAAGACGAACACCTCCTCGTTGTTAACAAACCAGCTCACATGGTAATCGCATACTAAGACAATTAGGATTAGAAATTGACAGTAGTAAGAATCTCTCTCTCTGGTGTTTAGGTTGTTCATCCTGCGCCTGGAAATCCTACGGGAACGCTTGTGAATGGCATACTTCACCATTGTGCTCTTCCCTCTGTTGCTTACTCAAACCAAGAAGATGATTCCGATGAGGAAACTCTTTCAGATGATGAAGAGATGACCTCTTCTAGCTCGTTAGCTGCGTCTGTGCGTCCAGGGATTGTTCATAGGTTGGATAAAGGGACTAGTGGACTTCTCGTTGTAGCCAAGGTTTGCGGTTTTTATACTTTTCTTCTTCTTTTGGTGGCTGTTTCTACGAACAACTTCTGAAAGTGTGTAATTGGCAGGACGAATATTCTCATGCTCAGTTGGCAGAGCAGTTCAAGCTACACACGATTGAGAGAGTGTATGTGAGTCTTACTACTGGAGTTCCTTCTCCATCTCAGGGGCGTATTGATGTGCCGATTGGTCGTGATTCGAATAACCGGATCCGTATGGCTGCTATTCCTGGATCTTTATGCCGTGGCAAAGCTCGTCATGCTGCTAGTAGGTGATTGAAGCAGTCTTTTAACAAATGCACCAAAGCATGATTCTGTAGAGAAAAGTCTCTTTAAGAGTTGTTAGCTTGTACTGATTCATCTTTTCTCCTCTCTTAGGTATAAGGTAATTGAAACACTCGCTGGAGGTGGCTCTGCATTGGTTGAGTGGAGACTAGAAACCGGCCGTACACATCAGGTACTCTCACGCTATTTCAGTTTTGAAACTCAGTCTCCATTTGTAGGACTACTCAAAATCTTGAAAAGTCACTCTCTTTTCCATCTTGATTTGAAGTAGATACGTGCTCATGCCAAGTATATAGGAGTTCCTCTATTGGGTGACGAAGTGTATGGTGGAACGAAAAGCATGGCGCTTTCTCTTCTGCAGAAACGAGTCTCCCGCAGTGATCAGGAGCAGATCATAGAGCTGATTTCAAGAATGGATAGACCTTGCCTTCATGCTATAGTTCTTGGGTGAGAGAAAAAAAAACTCAAATCTTACTCTTATACATTCTCAAGTCAAACTTATGAAAGAACCAGCTAATATAAGAACTGCTTCGTCTACTCTGTTTTCTTTCTTTAGCTTTAAGCATCCGTGCACTGGAGAAACTGTGAAGTTTTCATGTCCACCGCCGTCAGATCTTGCAGAGATCGTAGGCTTGCTTCGTCGAAGCGGAAGAGAGAAAGAGAAAGTAACCCAATTCACTGCTCTCTGATGATCTTTGAGGGAACAACAAACATAGTTAGGATTCAGTTTCATGATCCATTATGATGTATAATTCCGATCAAAGCCTTTTGTTTATAGCTTGTAGTAGTGTATAACAAAAAGAGACATTCTTTTCAAATTACAAACACTGAAATAGCAACGACTAGTCGACTACAAAACAAAGACCTTTCATTTTCAGCTTCCTCTTCTTCTTCGCTCAACAATTCACAGTAGTTTTGTGGGTTTAATTTGGAAAATTGGGCGAGAGAGAAAGAAACACAAACACAAAGTTTTAAGCAATCCATCGAATCACTAATGATCGCTTCGACGATTTTTCTCGATCATATCCTTTTGCTTCTCCGCGAGCTTATCCAAAGCAGAAGAAACGGCGTCGCTTCCACCGATGAGCAGCCGAGTGATAACCTCCGGATCCGTCTCGAATCGAGCAGCCTCGAACTCTTTCCTAGCGTTCTCTCTAAGCACGTCTCTCCAAAGGAGTCCTCCTGAATCGGTCCACATGAAGAACCGAGTCGCTCGGAATATGTCTCTGTACAGACTCAGCGCCTCCCTGCGCGTGCTCGTCAGACGGCGCCTGTTGAGAAACTCGGCCTCCCGCGAGCTTATCCAAAGCAGAAGAAACGGCGTCGCTTCCACCGATGAGCAGCCGAGTGATAACCTCCGGATCCGTCTCGAATCGAGCAGCCTCGAACTCTTTCCTAGCGTTCTCTCTAAGCACGTCTCTCCAAAGGAGTCCTCCTGAATCGGTCCACATGAAGAACCGAGTCGCTCGGAATATGTCTCTGTACAGACTCAGCGCCTCCCTGCGCGTGCTCGTCAGACGGCGCCTGTTGAGAAACTCGGCCTCGTCGTCGTCGACGACGACTCGTGGTTTCTCTTTCTTCGCCAGATGTCTATCGAATAGCTCCTCCATTGTGTCTGGACCTTCGTGAACGAACCGTCTCGTCGATTTAGCGTCGATCCGAGAAATCAGATCTAGACGACCTGACAGATTCCGCCATTTCTGAAGCTTCGTCGCCATCATCATCTCTCTCACATTTGAGAGAATTCGTTCTCCGAGTTACAACAACATTCCTGGTAGCAACCTGGGCTCAAAAGGCAATGAAACTTAACGGGCTAATTTTTATGGCTATATAGGCCCATTGATAGCCCACGAATGGTTCTTAAATATGATTATGATTAGGGAAAATTCCATAAAAATATCGATTATGATTATGATTGTGATTGCGATTGCGATTGCGATTGCGATGAACGGTTCTTAAATATTTTATAAAAAAAAATCTAGAAATGGTGAATTTTTATCATGTGTATGTTTACATTTTGATTTATGAATAGCTTTTTGTTTGATGATTGATCTTATAAACAAATGTATAAATATGAAACTGTTGCAATAGTAGTAGGGTTCGATTGATTATTAGATGGTTCCAAGTTACTAACCACCAATATTAACTTATAGGAAACAAGTAACACTATTAATTAGGTAGCTTAAAGAAAAAATAGGTGTGTGTTTGAACTTTGAATAGTATTTTTTTGTTTTAATATTGACCTGACGATAGACACCTGTGCATTTTCTCAATAGTTTTGTTTGTTTGGTCACATTTTCAGCATAATTATCAACAGACTATTAGTTAGTTGTTCGTGCCATGATAGACTAATATTCTTAGATATTTACATTTTTTTAATCAAGAACTAATATTCTTCGATTAATCGCATGAAAAAGTAAATCATTTGATATTTAACGAATTCCGACCGTGGTTATACAGACATGACTATTAGAATATGTCAACGTCCAATTTCAACTTGATTTAAAAAATATGACTTGGTAATTAAATCTATGCAAAACAAAACTTGAATTCCGTGTGACTTTAGCTCCAACTACTTCAATGGATTGTTGATGAGTTCTAGCATCAACCATATCATTTGGCATTTGCCCCTTTTTTGCATGTAGGTCTCAACTATTTCGATTTTTAGATGATTAAGTCCCACAGTAAAGTCAAATTAGTAATTAAAAAATATTCGGAGTGGAAGAAAAATAAAAAACATCCTTAAACATTTGATTTTTGGGAAGTCGGCTGTATAAACACACAAATGTCTTCTTTTGCTTTGGCTCACATTTGACCAAAACTCCTCAAATCCAGGCAACATCGTAGACTTTTTCAAACTTGTTTCCTCTCTTTTTCCTTCTTCAACATTTCATATACACATAAATTACCAAAAAAAAAAACAAAACCAAAAAAATTCCTCTGTTCTTAACTTCTTCGTAGATTTGATTTTTGTTCCTCTGAAAATCGATGGACAATAAACACCATACTTCAACTTCAAAACCTAAACACAAGAACAAGATTTTGAAGATGCTTCCCAAAGCCATGTCGTTTGGTCATCGGGTACCACCGTTTAGTCCGGGAAGAGATCTCCACCACCATCACCACAATACTACGACGTCCTCCAACAAAGCGTTTTTCTCCGGTCCTATGGTCCCTCTGGTTCCTAACGCGGCTCGGGTCAGAAGAGCCAAAAGCGACGCCGTTTGGGACGAACCAACTTCGCCTAAAGTCTCTTGCATCGGTCAGATCAAGCTCGTTAAGTCAAAACGCTGCTCTCCAAAGAAGAACAGAGCACCTCCGTCGTCGCAGATTCCTAAAATCCCCAAAACGCAGTCGTCTTTGACCAAAGACGATGAAAAAAGTCATCGTGTTTCGAAGATCAAGCGATTCTTCTCGTTTTCGGCGGCGGGAGGAGGAGGAGGAAACACGTCTAGAAAATCTCACCACTCTGGCGCCGGCGCCGTCGCGGATGAACATCCGGTTGCGGTGGTTTCCGCCGCGGTTCCTTCGTTAGGTCAGATGAAGAAATTCGCGAGCAGTCGTGACGCTTTAGGTGGTTTCGATTGGTCGGTTGAGTTGAAAGAAGATGAAGAATCTCCGGCTGATCATCGCCGTGGTTACTATTCCGACGATGAGAAGAAGAGAGGAAGCTCTTACTTTAGAGACGACAATGAAGACGAAGATGAAGAAGACGACATAATCATCCCTTTCTCAGCTCCGTTGAGTTTGAAACCGAAGACAGAAGTTAACTTGTGGAAGAGAAGAACAATGGATCCACCAAAACCACTTCATCTCAAAATCTGATTAATTCCTTTTTTTTCACTTTTTTCTTTTTAGTACTGCAATTTCGAATTATATAATGATCATTTATCATAAACACTGATTCTGGATTTTGTTGTTATGTGTATATGTTTGAATGGTGGTGATAAACTGATAATGATCATTCCTTTTCAATAGATGCTAGTCTATGTGAATATCTCTTTCGGTTCTGTGATTTTACATTTTGTTCTGTCACTACTTTTTTGCAATTACAAATTTAATTTTTGTATTTTTCCTTGTGTGACAATGTGTATGACAACAACCATTGTCTTTCCACCACCAAACTGTCCATATATTTAATGTAAATCACAATCCAACCATTTAATATCACACACCAAAACGATATCAAAATGTGTATTCTATTAACTATTCATTGGGTAGGTACAAAATCACTTACATGATTACATCTTTATATATGTCCAGTTTCCGTGCCTTAAAAGTTGAAACAAAATCAAATCAAGGATCACATTTTTTTTTGCGATTTTCATAATAAACCGGTCTCGGATGGTACAAAATACAAACAAAACCCCGAAAAAACTATTTTTCTTGTAATAAATCGAGTTTTGATACAAATTTTAATAAGTGACACGAACGCCAGAGTACCGGAGAATCTCTCCGATGAGTTCTCCTTTCCCGGAACCAACATACCGGCCACGAATCTCGCCGTCTCTAATGAACAAAAAAGTTGGAACCTCGATGACATTCATGTCCTTGAGAAACTCCATACAGCTATCGTTCTCGTCGCCGTTCATTCTGGCGAACACAACGGTCTCCGCCATCGACCGGGACAGTTTCAAAACCGTCGGATAAACCTTAACGCACGGTCCACAGTGCTTCAGACCAACGTCAAGCACTATCAGCTTCCCTCCGGCTTTGTTTTCGTCGATCAGCTTCTCCACGTCAGCTCTTCCGTGCAGCTGCACCACCGCCGAGTGGTTGTCCCCGTAGTATAACACGTCCCCCATTAGCTGGTCCGGTCCAATACCTACCAATAGTCAATAATTAGCCACTATAATACTTTACTCATCTCTGTTATATAATTTGGCCACTATAATACTTTACTCATCTTAGTATATAATAAGGTTAACTTTTACTAACAAAACTTGTTTTTTAAAACAAACAATTCGCTATGGTTAGTGTTACAAGTTAGCAACATCTACAATAAACCCAAATGAAAACTCAAAACGTAATCAGTTTAATATACAAGTGTTAATTTAATGTCAGTATATTTTTGTACATATTTAATCATTTTAAAGTTTCAAGTATGGGAGGGAAATTGAAACTGACCTTCTTCTTCGTGAACTTTCTCCATGCTCTTATAAAAGCTAAAGTGAGGAACTTTCTCGATCTTCTCTCTACGACAGAGCTCTCTGGTTTTTTCGGACTCATCACCCATGACGAGCAAGAAAACGACATCGTTACAGGTCCTGCTCAGATCCACCATAAACGGATATATCTTCTTACTCTGATCACTCTTACTAGTGGCAAACTCGGCAACAACCAGCTTGGTCTTGGCATTTTTCAACGCCTCGTCGAATTCCTCTCCGCTGTGAATCTTCTGTACTTTCTCGTCCTTGGCCGCCGGTGAATCCACCTTCCCCGGCGGTGCCGCTCCGGCCTTCGCGGAGGAGAATAGTCTTCTTGAGGGGAGCTTTCTCCAGCTCTGTTTTAGAGACAGAGAGTTTGGTTTGTGGTCGAGGAATACGAAGGAAGAGGTGGAGGTGACGGCGGAGGAAGGCCGTGGGATCACGGTGGCGATTGGTTTCGCTAAGAAGTTAGCGACGGTGGCCATTGTGGGACTGTTTGTGTTTGTGTGTTTGTGGATTGGTTAGAGTTCGATGAATGGTCAAAATGTGGATAGAGCTTGTAAAAAAGGGCTCAATAATTTGTGTCCACTTGATTTAATTGTGTGGATCATGTCCACTCTTGAGTAGATTTTTTATTTTATTATTGGATAATAAAGGAATATGTGATTTTGTAGAGTTTGCCGATTCATAAAAGCTATCGATATGATTTTGTTTAAGTTTTTGAATAAAGACAAAGTCAATATCCAAGTAAGACTAGTTGAATAGTATGTTTGGAGACTTTTATCCACTATAATTCCATTGTATTTTCGAACTGGTAAACGGAAAATGTATCAGAAATTGCATCAGCTGTCAAGTTTAGACATGTTTCTCAGCTTCAACCAAATTGTCCATTGACATTAAACATGTACACGTGTATACTTGTTGACCTCTTGCTCAAATCATATAACCACTTCAGTGGAAGTGAGCCAGACTAATAAAATGTCGGCCTTTAGCCATCTAGTCCATAAGCCCATTCTAGTTTCGACCCAAAATCGGTAGAATGAGTTGGCTAGTGCATTAGTTGGCAACCGAGAAACTTTTTAGTCAAATACTCAAATTTACAAAATCACACTTCATCACTCCAAAGTTTAGTTTTCATACAAATAAATGAAATCTTGTTTTCTAGTGTAAGCTGTAGTGCGTGAGACCACCACCACGCTTCACCCACTACCACCACAATGCAACAAAACCATTACCCTAAAAGTTCAAATATTCAATTTCGAGAAACTCAATTTTAAAGCTGAAGTTATGTAAAGGAAAATTGGCTGACTTATAAAATAAACATTTCGGACGGCCCACAAATCGCACGACCACTCTCACTACTGGTTACTATCTAACACACTGTCGACACCTAAGCCATGACCCAATAACTTTCCATAAAGGCAAAAAGCAGCTCTGATTGTAAAAGTTCCAAAAAGTAACACTACACGTGCTTTTCCCGTATCCCTCGCCGGCGCGATCCACGGCGGCAGATCTCCACCGTCCATTCCGTCTTGATCTTCACAAGTGTGAAAACTAAGCAATAAACTAAAAGCTGCCGGTTTATTCCGATTGATTTTCCCGGCGGTAAACACTTTCATTAGACCAAATTTCAGCGATTCCAACAATTAAAACAAATCAAATTGAGAAGAAAAAAAAATAATAATGTAAGAGTACACTGAACAGCAAACTGATATTAATACGACACGACAAAAAGATTCTTAAAAGGGCAAAACAGGAAATTAAATCAAGAAGAAGAAAAAAAAACACAAAGATGAAGATTCTCTCATCATTCCTCAGCTTTCTCTGGTTTTCTACAGAGAATCATATGCATCGGAGTGAAGATCCCAGTCTCACCACCTCTAGTCAAATAATCAGCAGTCTTAAACAGCATATCATGAACATCAACCGTTCCTTTCGGAGCAATCCCAATCGCCGAGAGAATCACAACCACGACATGGTTTCTCCAATACGCAAGACGACCCATCTTAAGCCTGCTCCACCACGGTTTCGCCGGCGGTTTAGCCAAATCCTTCTCTTCCACAACCTCGAACCCGACTTTCCTCGCCGTCGCCGCGATATCGGTGTACTTTCTCAGTCCCGGAAGCGCGTCTCCTCTCTCGATCCCTTGAATAACCTCCACGTGTTCTTCGTCTCCGTCTCTGTACTTCTCAGTCGTGACCCACTCGTAGGAGACGTACATGGATCCCGGTTTCATCACTCTGTAGATCTCCGCGTAGACTTCCTCCAGCTTCGGAGCGTGACACGTGGCCTCGATCGAGTAAGCGCCGTCGAATGTGTTGTCGTCGAACGGCATCTGCAAAAAGTTACCGCAAACGACGTCGCATAGGGAGTCTAAACCGGCTTTCTTGTTGTGGAGCTTGGCTCGTTTCACTTGGTACTCGTTGATGGTGATTCCGACGACTCGGGCCTTGGAATGGGCCGCGATGGCTCTCATCGGCCCACCAACTCCACAACCGGCGTCGAGGATCTTTTGACCAGGTTTGACTTTGATTAGATCGACGGCCATTTCTTCGTGGATCCTTGTGGCGTCCTTGTCGGATTTTCCGGGGACGTGAGGGGAGAAGTGGAAAGACTGTCCCCATCCCCACTCGTAGATGTCGGTGACGAGGTTGTAGAATGTGTCGACGAAGTCTGGGACTTTCTCGGCGGTTTCGATCTCTTTCGGTTTGCGGAAGAAGGACCAGTACTGGTTGTAGTTGTCTTTGACGTTCTCGGCGGAGATTGAGCCGCCGGAGAGATTTACGGCTCGTTTGCCTTTTCGCTCTGCTGGACCTAGGACGCAGACGAACCAGTAGATTCCGCCGGCGACGAGTGCGGCGGTGCAGAAGAGCGCCACCGAGTCCATTTTTTAAAGAAAAGAGAGAGAACAGAGAGAGAGAGAGAGAGACAAATGAGTTTACGAGTTTTATTTGTAAGAGAGAGTTAATGGTTTTTATGTGCAAAGATGTATAGAAGGAATATCCAATTTCGAATCTTGGAAATAAATAATCCGTTTTAGGTAATAAGATAACAGAACTTTAACAGCTACATATAACCTTTTAAGATCAATCTTCCATATTAATTTTTCATATTTCTTTTTGAGAACTTTATTACAATTTTTTTCCTCCATTAAGTACAGTATTATTATTAAAAAAAAAAGTACTTAAGTAATTAATTTTAAGTTAAGTTTTGATCTTAAACTATAAATTCATTTATTAGTATTTTGAAAATAGCAAATTACATCTTAAATGTACTCAATTATATTTATTAATATAATTAGTGATATTTATTTAAATAACATAATTAAACTTTTAAAATTTTCAAAATCTCATATTTTCAATTTTGTTGTACTTTTTGTTTGTTGTTTTGAGTTGAGATACCCATTGAGATGGGATGCCATGGAATCATTATTTTCGTAGATCTATAATGATTTTTGTTTTCTCTCCACCTAAATCTTCTGAGATGTTATTTTCAGTGACCTTAATTAGTCTCATATACCAAAAACAACATGTGAATTCATACCAAAAAAAACATGTGAATTATCTTGTGTGATCTTCTTAAGCATTCAAGTATTTCACTATCTCCACGTTGTAGGGTCAAAGCCAGCTTCATATGGAAAAAAGGTATTGTAATTTTATTCATTTTATACATTTCTCCCGCTCTCCGTACAACAAAGGGATTTTATAACGACTTATAATGATCAAACTCTATAAACATAAAAGAAAATAAATCTCGATCACTTTACCTATACTATACGTCTATATACATGGTCCAGGATCCGTGAGCTCAGTACAATAAAATAAATATTAGCTGGTTCTTGGACTAACCCAATTAAATTATGAGTTTTGGTAGATAGGTCATAATCACATGACTCATATGATCATATCACATGACAATGTGTTATGCAATCTGTCCGTATGTCGAGACGAATCTTTAATCGCTCCATATAACAGCTTGTTTTTGACAACGCTCACGTGCTCTTTTTGGTACACACGACATATTTAATGTGTTAACGAGGACAAGTTCGTTATAGATTGGTCCAGTTTTATTTTAAACCCGATATTAATCATTCCAACTGTAGACCATAATGCACATACGACACCGATCTTTAGCTGTTATATTCGACCGGAAAACTATAATTGAAGCTCTTCGAATCCATGATTTATACATCTTAACCATAATAATTAAATAAGTTGATACACAGAGCCATCAAACATTTTTTTGCAGATTCCTGATTTGCTGAATCAATTTTTCTTGTTTTTGTCACTTACTGAAGCAAGCAGCTTTGTTTCCGTATATTTTTGGAAATAAATCATTAGCCTTATCAGTTAGGCGGCCCAATCGTAAATATAATTCGTGATGGGCCTATTAAAGACCGTACGATCGGTCCATAATTAACGGAAGTAAACGCAACAGCAGAGACATAAACCAAACTTTATTGACTGAAAATGTACAAAAGAAACATAACCAGTATCTTTACAACAATAGCATTATACAATCCTGTTAAATAATCCAACAATCTCTTCCATATTACATTTGCCATTGTAAATAAGCTTCTACTCGAATCAGAACTTAACTCCTTGGCAATTTAGTTGACGGTGACTTTTCCGACCATACCAGCTCCTTGGTGCGGCACACAATAGAAACTGTAAGAGCCAGGCTCTGTCAAAGTAACCTCGTAAGTCTCTCCAGGACCATTTAGAAGTGCTTGCTCGTCCATCGAGATCTTGCTCGCGTCCACACCACTCGGGATCTCGTCTTCATCAAACACCACGTTGTGTGGGAACCCTGCGTTGTTCTTGAACACGATCTTCTCTCCTTTAGCCACCGTGAACTCCTTTGGTACGAAAGCCAGACCACCGTCGTCTGATCCAAGAAGAACCTCTATGGCCATCGCATTCCCTGCCAAAACGATGGAAGCTGCCGTTGCCACAGCAATGACGCCGAAATCTTTAAGAGAAGACTTCACGGCAAGCTTAGGCATCGGTGCGGCGGCGGATGACCTGATGGTAGTGGAAACCATCGGGGGTTTGGACTTGACGGCGAGCTTAAGGCCGGTGAAAGAAGGAATTCCGACGGTAGCTGATGTAACTGAGGCCATTTTGTTTTTTTTTTTTAGTTTTTTTTTAAATTGGTGTTTTGGTTGTTTATGTGATTACTATAACAAAAATGGAAAATATGCGATTTGATAAGATATATAGAAAAACTTTGGATTTTGTTTCCCAAAATGGATTTGTGGAAAAAAACAGAGAACAAAACAAGAGGAAGTTTGTGAGGTTTATGTGGTCAGAGGATGAGAAAGAGTTATCTGCATGGAATTGTTGTGATTGGCTGTTTCAGATGTTTTATAAGGTGACGTGGCATTGTTTTGGTTCTTTGTCTAAATTTGCATACAAGTAGATAAGCTTTAGTAGACTTTGAAAATTCAGAGCTATTGATTGGTTTTGAGACTAAAAAGGTTTCCAGACGAGCAACTAATCTTGTCAAGTCAACCGAGTTTACAATTGGGCCTCAAAGGGCTTAGTTTAAAAAAAAGGAAAAACTACAATAACCATAAGTTAGGAAAAAAACGACGAGGCGTCCGTTCCAATGAAAGAGAAACGACGAACAACAGAATAACTCGCCGTTTTTGGTAAACCACCTAAAAAGCCCTGCCGTTTGTCTCCTCAGCACCCCTGAGCCTTAACTTCTCTCTGTACTCATGCAACTCCTTCTGGTACCTCTCCTTGTCCTTCAATCCAATGTTCTGATAAACCTACAAAACAATAACCGAAAACTCGGTTCAGTTATCGGTTTACCACATATTTAATTAGTCCCGGTTTATAAGATAATTTCTTACCGTGCGTTCCTCGGTTGAGAGATTGCTCCAAGATTCGCCGATGAGCTTCGTAAACTCTCTTTCTTTGTTCGGATAGAGAGACTTGAGCTTGCAATGCTTCTCCGCAAAGAAGAAATTGTAACCGCTCCGGTTCGGTTTAGGGTAATTTGGATCTTCCCTGCGTCTGCTTCTACGCTTTTTCCCCAAACGGCGACGTTTCTTCCCAGTTTCAAAGTAAGGCGCAACGGCGCCGTTTACACCTGCGATTGGTGAAGGTGTGGTGGGCTGGGCCGAGTGGTAAAGCACGCCGTTGAGAATCTCTGAGCCCAATTTCACTTTCACCAGATAACCACAATCGAATTTGCCTTCGATTGTACCTATGGCTGTGAAACTCGACGAACCTGCACCATGCATAATGTGTGTCACATGTATATCATAATCATACTAAATAATACATTATCTTATATGTGAACCAAAATCATATATTATCATCTAGCTACCGGTTAGCTCCACGTCTTTCGGTTTATTATCCAATAAAATCCAAAATAAATTTGCATCAAACGTAATGACGGTGGGACCATTTATGAACTAGACTATATATTTTGAAAAGTATTGAGATAAACACAGAGATTTTACGATAAGTACGTAAAGCTAACTGAACAATCATCATTTGAGTGCCCCTTAGTGTAAGTTACACAAATATATAATCATTGATTAATTTTCTTAATCATTTTTGTCATGTAAAATTTAACTTTAAATGAAGTAAGTACGAACCTTGACTTGGCTGATAAGAATTGTTGTATCCAAGACTCGGAGGAGTATATTCGACGAGAGCCATTTCCTTGCCCGCTGAAGGATCCTTGGTATGAAATGTGGCTGCAAATTTGATTTTCAATTATATTCAACATATATAATCATCGTCAAAAATAATTAATATTTCCAAGATAATTATTACAATAACCGAATAACCAATTATCGACTCCCACGTATTTCGTAAGAATCTGTCCCACGATTGAACCCATGACTTAACAATTCGAGCTTTATTTTTTCTTAATTGAATTTCAGTAAGCTTTTCAGATTATCGTTGATGGTGAACAAAGTAATGAACTTTCTAGTCTTGGGGCATTAAAGAGAATTTCAGCAGCATCTAATGATTCATCGAGTAGCATTTATCAAACGGTTGAGTTAAGCAAGTCTCAAGAGTGAATGATACTTTGAAATAATAGTACAACGGAAATATAAACCTGTTGGGTGAAGAAGAGGACCACGAGCAGTGAAGAGATGGACTTGCTCGTAATGGAAGAGAAGATTGAGATAATGCTTCCTCAAGACAAAAGAAGCACTTGTTGTGGTCGCAGAGAACCTAAACACTCCTCCAACTTCCCTCCATTTCTTCTCAGTAACCACCTATTAATTCACATGCATTTTCAACCAAAATTAAAATGAGATTGAGAGCAAGAGTGAATCACCATAAATATTTTGTATTGAAAAAGAGAAAAAAAAAAAAAAAAAAGATCGAGGAGTAAAGTGTTGACCTTTTCGTAACCTCCCCTCCTCGTGACTTCCACATACAAAACATGCAAATCTAGTTCTTTTCCTCCAATCACAGGAATCCTTTGAAAAAAAAACGTATATTAAATAAGTGAAAGTGTGAAACTAATCATAAAAAGAGTATCCAGTAGTATAAAGTAAGAAGAGAGGAAGAATATTGGTTACATGAATTTGGTGGCCATTATGGAGTGAAACCGCCTGAGAGTATCCCAGAAGAGGGCAAGATCTCTAACGATGGCTTCATGTGACGCCAGTGGTTTCGGATACTCTCTCATCTTCGCCGGTGACGTAGCCGTCGTTTCAACCGTCGCCTGAGAAGGCGTCGATTCGTTTCCCGACGACATCGTTTGAGGGGGGGCGAGAGAGACTTTCTTCTGTTTTCTTTATGGAGGTTATTGTGTTTTTCTTTTTGTCTGGTCTGTCTTTTTTGGTTTTGGTTTAAGGAAAGAAGAGAAAGATAACCATTCAAGATAAGATTTCTGATTACATCCCAAAAGAAATAGGGGGATATAAATTAGTTTTTTTGCTAAGGATTAAAAAGTAACGGACGTGAGGATTTGTCATTTTCTTTCTTTTTGTGTGTTTTATTATATACCACAAAGATATAAGGAAATTTAGCTGTCAAAAAACTTCTTTCTTTGTAGTTTGTGAATATACATATTTGCTTGCTGTCAAAAGATTTCTTTCTTTGTAGTTTGTGTATATACATAATTAATAATTTGCTGTCAAAATTATTACTTGTTTTTATTTTCGAGGCGTTTCTGAATGATGTTGCTTGGTAATTTGTCTGATACTTCTAATATGCATTAATTGCATTAATACAGATTTTATTGCACCCCATCTACTTTAGAAGTTAAGCTAATGAGCAGTCGAATTTAGTCACGTCTTTTCTTTCCAATCTAATCAATAATTCAAAAAAATTCAAATCACTTTAGTCCTTTTTACATGAAAATATCAATAGTATTTGTAGAAAATAAAAATACACCGTCTTACTTCTTTACAACATGAACCATGATTAGGTGAAGAATTTAAAACTCGTACGTTCTTAAAATATCAATTTTTTTTTGGCATTTAAAACCTTGAAAAAATAGTCACTGTTGAGTATTGACATGCATTGGTAAGCAAAAGTTATAAAGTAGTGCAGTACTTATTAGTGCAGAATGAAGATAGGAGTCACACCCTAAAACTCATCGGGTCAACCGAAGTCTGACCTTTTTATTTACCCTAAATATCATTTTAAAAAATAATTAAAAGATAAAAAATAGTAAAAAAAGAAAGAAAAAAAAAGTTATGGGCCTGATGGCTCGGAGAAGCTGACGTGCGATTAGGGATTTTATTGTTCTGCTCATATGTAACGTCACGTCTCTGCCTGTAGATTCGGTTCCACGTTTCTCCCTCTCAAAATCTTTTCTCTTGCTCCTTTAATCTAATCATCAACATTGTTCAGATAATATTCTCCTTTCTCCATCAAAATAAATCTTCAGTATCAATGTATCATGATGACATTTTGAGTATCTTTGGAGTTAAAACAGAACTATGATCACAAATCAAATCCATTAGATATCATCACCGTATAAGCATTTGTAAAAACGAAAACATTGTTGCAAAATGTTTATAACTAAGCTACAGTTATGGTTTCTTTGGAGTCTTCACCATTTTGCTTAGAAACTTTGACTGGCTCTAGCTCTGTGGTGTCTTGAGTTTCATCAATCTTCTTACATACAAGAGCTTGCTCTGTGGTGTCTTGAGTTTCATCAATCTTCTTACATACAAGAGCTTGCTCTGTGATATGTTTAATTCTGCCATAGTTTAGGTCAGGATAGTTTCTATAGTTCAAGGAATGCAACCAAAGAGCCACAGATCCATATCTTCTCTCGGCAGAGCCGATATGAGAATAAATATGCTTCAATTTGAACGCCTCAGCTTCTTCCTTGTATGCTTCCATGGACACTTCCTCATGGCTCTCTTCAAATTTAGCGTTATAAGACGTGAAGAAGCATTCATCGAGATAGAGTCCAACTTCTGGCGCCATTGGTACAGTTATATTCACATCCCTGGTTACACATAAATTCCAAATTTCAGAATCAAAACATAAACTATGTACATTGCAAGCTTGAAACCACAAAAGAAGAAGAAGAAGCTTACTTGCTGAAAGCAGTGTGAAGAAGTGATTCAGGAGCAAGATTCCTCAAGA